AATGGAGATCGAGAGACCTTGATAGAGGATTACTTTTGTCTTGGTTTTAGCTACTGGGAGGTGCTCTCATTTCTGCTGGTATATCATGGCATTCGATTAAGTTTAAGGCACCTTAAAAGGATCTTCAGAAGTCGTGGACTACGCAGGAGAAATATCCATTCAAGTATCGAGAGAGTCGTGGATGCAGTAGAGTAAGAATTACAGTGGAGTGGGAGTACTATTGGATATCGGCAAATGCACCAGAGATTGTTAAGAGATCATGGACTTGTGATAGATCGAGAAACTGTTAGGCGTGCCATTAAACGGCTGGACCCAGAGGGTGTTGAGATGCGAACGAAGAGACGGTTTAGGAGGAGATATGCAGCTCTTGGTCCTAACTTCATATGGCATCTCGACGGTTACGATAAATTAAAACCGTACTGGTTCTGCATTCACGGTGCGATAGACGGTTATAGTCGACGCATATTGTGGCTTGAAGTTGGGCCTACAAATAACGACCCGATGATTACTGCTCGATACTTCATTGACTATGTTCAGCAGTTACGTGGACTCCCGCGAGTTGTCAGAGGCGATTGCGGAACTGAAAACATACATATTGCTGCAGTTCAGCGGTTTATGAGAAGAAATGGTGGAGATAATATGGCTGGGGAAAAGAGCTTCCTGTATGGAAAATCTGTCGCAAACCAGAGAATTGAAGCTTGGTGGAGTTTTTTAAGGAAAAGTAACACCGACTGTTGGATACGATTTTTTAAAGATTTTTCGGACCTGGGTCATTTTGATAACCGCAATATTATTCATGTAGAATGTTTAAGGTTTTGTTTTATGGGCTTAATTGAAGAGGAACTGTATAAGGTTGCGCAGAACTGGAACTTGCACAAGATACGGCCTTGTAATGCGGAGACACCACTTGGAAGACCTGATACACTGTTTTTTCCTCCAGGAGAAGCAGGAGCTACGGACTACAAGAAAGACGCGGACGAGAATGATCTGGAGGTAGCAGAGAATTTATGTGGTGAGCGGTGCCATCCTCTTGGTTGTTCACTAGCATTCGTATCATTAACAGAGCTCATTATGGAGGATAACAACTTGCATTTGCCACAAGACCCAAACGAAGCAGCGTCTCTGTATTTAGACCTGCTCCATCATATCAACAATCTGTAAATCACCAACCTCTCTTACTGAGCGAGAAATGCGAAGTTATTGGCAAGTGTGCACGACATTTCAAGTTTCCTTATGCGTTTTCGTTTTCTCGGTTCCTGAAGAAAAATCCGTGTCGATGTTAAATGGTAGAAGAACTAGGCAAGTTCATCACTAAGAACACGGCACAGTAGATTTAGCAATTATTACATTGTTTCTTTTCAGTGCTGTGAAGTATTTGTACTTTTGTTCAATTATACAGAAGCACGGCTTGTATCAAAATTTAATCCTTAAATACCAGGCCCTGGTTGTTCAAAGGATGAATAATGCTATCCATCGGATAAATTGCTCTTCAGTGGATCAGTGTTAGGAAAAACAACTGCGACATCTACTGGATATCCGTTGATAGGATTATCTCCAAAATAAACTGCTGGACAATAGTTTGTTCTAGAGCAGATATTTACAAAAAAAAAAAAAAAAACCAGTATTTAAAACAGTATTTGGATGCCCCTGTTCAAGGAAAACGTGAACAAAACTATTGGGTTTATTTTAAATATTTGTAGAGTTGCTATCTTGAAAATCTATCCAAACGCAATTTGTTGAAAAAAAACTCATCCGGAGCCACTTTTAACATTGACTAGTCAATTACAACGAACGTTAAAAAAGAAAGGAGTCGGCTGACTTAGGTAAATCGGTAGCTTATAATAGAGAGATTAAGCATGACGTTTACGGCAAACGGCAAACGGCAAAA